TCAAATGGGGGCTAATAATAACTATATATATATATATATATATATATATATATATATATATATATATAGGTATTATTGACAAAAGAATTAATAAAAAAAGAAACTTAAATAACAAAATTAGTCCAATTTCTAAATAAAATTACATTTAACAATTAATATGCATAAAATGAAAAGATTAAATGATTGTAAATGAAGATAAACAGCAAAATAAAAATAAAAATGTAAATTGAAATGGTAAATTTGAATAAAATCATGAACCAAATAAAGAAAATACATTATTTTGTTTATATATTTTTAAAATGTACATTCATTTGTCTGTCTATCTATCTATCTATCTATCTATCTATCTATCTATCTATCTATCTATCTATCTATCTATCTATCTATCTATCTGTCTGTCTGTCTGTCTGTCTGTCTGTCTGTCTGTCTGTCTGACTGTCTGTCTGTCTGTCTGTCTGTCTGTCTGTATATATGTATATATATATATATATATATATATATATATATATATACTAGGGATGGGAAGATTAACCGATATGTATCGATACGCGGTTATGCGCGTTCACGATGCGAGTGCATCGGTTGAGCAGCAGAGGATGAATGAAATTTTGGAAGCAAATCGAGATGCATCGGTTTTTGCGAGATGCATCGATTTTTCCGAGATACAGCTTATATTTTTAATATAGAATGTATTTTTTTATTTATTAACAAGTGTTGTCAACCTGTTTTTGGCGCATAATTTAATCGACCTACATAAAGTAAGCCTTAGCAACGGATTTGCGGATGTGCACACACTACAACTCAGTGTATCAGGTGTGCGGATGAAGCTAGTGGAGCGCCCTCAGAAAGCGCGAGAAGCAAAACAAACATTTTATTCCCCACTGAGTTTTAAATCTAAAGTATGGCAAGCAACATTATGGATTTAAGGATGGACGACATGACAGGACAGATGCAATTTGCAAAATGTGCCGCGCATCTGTAAAATACGCGGGCAGTACGACTAATCTGAAATCTCACTTGAAGCGGCGCCACGGTGTTGTTGTGGAAGCATCTTCCAGTGTTTCTGCATCCCCGGCTTTCGCACTGCTTCAACCAGCTCCAAAAGTGGTGAGAAAAGCATTGCAAGTTTTTTTTTCCATGCGCAACAGTTCTGCTCGCTCTACGCCAATAACGAATGCTATTGCATTGTTCATCTGCAAAGATATTCAGCCTAGTGTCACGGAGAACGAAGGTTTTAAACACCTCCTCCTGTTAATTTTTATTTAATTATAATAATGATAATATTAATAATAATAATGATAAAAATAATTGGGTGTCACGGTGGCACAGTGGGTAGTTTGACCACCTCACAGCAAGAAGATTGCTGGTTTGTTATATTTTTATTAGCCTGTTATTTACAGTGACAGTGATGTTTCAAAGCAGCATAACACTGCTAGTTCACAACCTTAAGTTTTGAATAATCAGTGGCAAAATATATCTTTGTAAAACTTGTTTTCATAGTTGAAAAGTTAAATCACAATTCTTGTTGTGCAATGCTAAATTTATTTATGTTGAAAGAGTGCAAATATATACATATTTTTTTAATATATTTTGCACTTATACATTCTGTTTATCTTGAAAATACTTAAATAATATGTGCTATATGTTCTAAAATGGCCCTCTACTGTAAACTGACACTCTGGCTCTGAGAGAAGAGCCAGTTTGTAAAAAAGTCTTGGTTTTGCTTGGTTTATAAATAATCAAACTCATTCAATGGCACAGCATCCTCTTTCACATCATCTCATAAACTTGATCTAATTAGTTAGTGCTGAAATATCGCATCGTATCGTGATATGGGTGTGAATCGTATCGTGTTGCATCGCAATATGTCACAAATGCATCGCTAATATATCGGATCGTATTCTTTGTATCGAGATGCGTATCGGATCGGCATTATAGCTTAGATGCCCAACCCTAATATATACATATATACATATATATATATATATATATATATATATATATATATATATAAACACAAAAAAAAATGATTACTAATAAAATTATAAATATTATATAGTATTATATAGTATTTATAGTAGAAAGTATATTGAAAAATGCCCAAAGCAATTGATTAGTAAAAAATATAATAAACGTACGTAATGATTATATTTAGACTTAGTAACAACAGAAAGAAATATAAAAATAATAATAAAATAATAAAATCACAATCAATGAAAAAACTGTACAAGTATACAAATAGTAACAACAAAAATGCTGTCGATTGCAGTCTATAATGAAGCATTTGTGTGTGTGTGTATGTGTGTGTGTGTGTGTGTGTGTTTGAAGCGGTTGAGTGGCAGGCTTGAGTACATTCCCCAGTTGATTTAGTGTAGTTAAGATCAGATGGAATGTGTCAAAGCCAAAAGCTGGAGTTTAATCTGCTCGGCCTCTCCTTCCTCTGACAACACAAGCTGACATCTGACTGGCAGAGAGAAAGAAACAGAGTAAGATCCGGGGTGAAGCGGAGGCAAACACAGCAAGACTGATAAGGTGATCTCACACACATCAAACAGACCGAGCGCATGCATCAAACAGCCACAACACACTCCTTGTGGTGTTCAGAAGCTTCTCTTTATTGGCCTGAAGATTAAAGTCACAGAATGTGTGCAAAAATCAGTGTGTGTGTGTGTGTTTGTGTTCGGTAGAAACAAAGCATGCACAATCTCTTCTTCCAAAATCACTCAGATTAAATCATTCATTAATAAAACAAACAGCAATCGTCTCATAACCTGCTGAAAAATGACTGGATCTCACACAAAAGTCACATTCCGGCTCGATATCTGAATTATATATCGTTTATACCTACATACATTTCATCCTATATTTGAGATTTTTGATGAGCTTTTTAAAAATTGTTTCATGGTAAATGTGTTCATTTCTCTGCCTTCTTCTCAATACTGTATCAAATATTGTCAAATTTCCATTTATTTATTTATTGTAATTCATATTATCATTATTCTTTTAAAATTATGTTTGTTTTGTCATATCTGATCAGTTTTTAAACATGTCCATCAGTACTTCATAGTAAACACTCACACAGAGTTCATATTTCACCCCAAAATTGAGCCCATTCTGGGGCTGTTTTACTTTAAGCTTTCATTATCTTATAATTAAACTATATATAGCGCTCAGAATGTTTAGCCCCCTTGTATATTGTTTTCCCCAATTTCTGTTTAATTGAGAGATTTTTTAAACACATTTCTAAATATAAGTTTTAACATCTAGTCTTTAATCTTTGCCATGATGACAGTACATAATATTTGACTAGATTTTTTCAAGACACTTGTATTCAGCTTAAAGTGAAATTTAAAGGCTTAACCAGGTTAATTAGGGTAATTAGGCAAGTCAGGGTTATTAGGCAAGTCATTGTTTAACAATGGTTTGTTCTGTAGACTATCAAAAAACATATATAGCTTAAGGTGGCTAATAATATTGACCATAAAATGGTGTTTAAAAAATTTAAACTGCTTTTATTCTAGCCGAAATAAAACAAAAAGACTTTCTTTAGAAGAAAAAACATATTATAAAACCTTCTGTAAAAAATTCCCTGCTCTGTTAAACATCATTTGGGAAATATTAAAAATAGTAATAATTCAAAGGGAGGCTAATAATTCTTACATCAAGTACACCCCTTACAAATCTCTCATTTAAATTGTTATATTCTATAGGATGCTTAACGATTCTAATTATGATAATGGCTCAAAAATTAGTAGCCCAGACGTTAGAGGAAATATTAAATAATATTTAAAAGAAATAATACATGTAAAAAAAAAATCTGTAATTTTACGGTTTATTTCCGGCAGCTGGGGTATTAATTGTAATTTTAATTATTGTTGTTATTTTTTTTCAGTTTATCATTTCTAATAATTTTTTTTAAATATATACAATTTTACTTCATAATAAAATGGTAAATTGCGCAGTGAAGTCATACTTCAGTCCAATATAGCATTCTTTTTTTCATAAATACATTTACACCTATTTTTAGTGTTATTTTCGTGACACCTGGATACACTTCTCTTCCATGTTATTAATAATGTACCATGAAAAAAAATCTAATTTTCATTTCTTTTTCCACATTTATTGCAACTTTCATTATTACCAATTATTATTTTTATTTTCCATTTTACAGTAACAATAATGCTTTTTTTTTTTTTTAAACTAAAATCAGCTAAAATAAAAGTACAGTAGTACAATAAACACAACACAACCCAAAATCTCAATGGTCTTAAAAATAGGCTTTATGAATACACATGTACATAAAGCCTATATGCTATTTATGTATATACACTACCTGACAAAAATCTTGTCGCCTATCCAAGTTTTAGGAACAACAAACAATAACTTGACTTCTAGTTGATCATTTGCTGTCAGAAGTGGCTTATATGAAAGAAAAAGGCGTCTAGAATATGATTATTTTATCAAAATAAAATATAATCATGTCTTGATTTTTAATTATTTAATTAGGACAATAACGTCTGACTTTGCTTAGAAAAAAAGTGTTGTCATTGAACAGAAACATTGTCCAGTATAGAATATAAAGCCATGCTGCAGTGGAAGAAGAATGAATACTGTGTATGTCTCCCATGATCTTGGAGGACTGCATCCATACATCTCTGCAATGACTCAAATTACTAATTAATAAAGTCATCTGGAATGGCAAAGAAAGCGTTCTTACAGGACTCCCAGAGTTCATCAAGATACTTTGGATACATGCTTAATAATGTTCATGTCTGGTGACTGGGCTGGCCAATCCTGGAGCATCTTGACCTTCTTTGATTTCATGTATTTGTGATGATTGGGATGCAGTTCAACAGATGATTCAGCTGAAAATTCGACCTTCTGCCACTTTTCCAAACGATCAACTAGAAGTCAAGTTATTATTTGTTGCTCTTACAACTGAGATCGACGACAAGACTTTTGTCAGATTGTGTATGTGCGTTTGTATCCTCTTTTTCTTCTTTTGGGGTGAAATATGACCTGGACATGTTCTTGACAGCTTTCATGAGCTGAGCTTCACCCAAACATGGCCTGGGGGACGTGTGTGCGTGTGTGTAATACAATTGCATTTTGAAGAACGAAAAAAAGAAAAGAAAAGCAACATCATACAGATTCAGCTCTTAAAACACATTAAGACTCCCAATGAAAACCGCTTTTATAGCAGTTCTATATTAAAACTCGTGTCTTAAAATGTAACAAACCCCCTCCCATTAATTCCAGCTGTAGAAGCACAACTCAGAATGTTCAGGGTGGATGAAACAGCCAAGAAGATATAGAACGGCAAAATCGCTTTCAATAAACAGATTTCAATAAACAGAGGATCTCCAATTCTGACCCACGCAGGATTAAACACGGCACGCAAAAAACACACAGCTAAAAGGCAGAAGCTGAAGAACAAAAACATAAACACTCCTTCCTCTGTGTAAACATATTTATATACTTGTGCCATCTGTACTGTTACCTTCCTCTTCGACGCAGAATCTGAATGGCAAGTGAACAAAATGCATCTCTGGTCTGCATGCATCACATTTTGTAGGACTTTTTTCACATGCCACATGAAGATGTTTCTTATCAGTCCATATGGGCACCTCATTTCCTCTCCTAATCTGCAGAAATAAAGCTTTGTGGCGACATAGGTCAAATTCAAAGTGCACATACAGTAAGAAAAATCACACAAAGGGGAAAAAAAAGCAGGTGGAGCACTTGTGCTTCTGGCAAAAAAGTAAAAACTGAATGCTTGGCTGCATAAAAGAAGTCGTTTTTATTATCTACTGCTGAATCCATTCTGAACAACTCAGCAATACTGAAGCTAATGATTTAAGCAGAACTGGTGGAGAACGTCACGTTATTTTATGCAACCAGGCACCCGGATAACCTGACGGCAACGCGTTTCAGACGGCCGGGTTAGACTGTGAGAGAAATGAAGCTGTTATATCTCTGGATGTTCCTCTTGAGGATCTCAGAGCAGGGCCCGAGGACGCGCTCGAAACGCGGACGGTCCAACTTCACACACTTGAGTGGACCTCTGGCCACGACTGTTGCTGCACGGGGTCTGTTCAGCAGCAGCGCTATCTCACCTGTACAAATAAAACAACACACACGAGTTAGACAAATGACTTCCTCAAAGCAGACATACAGTTGAAGTCAGAATTATTAGCCCCCCTGAGTTATTAGCCCTGCTGTTTATTTTTCCCTCGATTTCTGATTAATGGAGAGCAGATTTATTTTAACACATTTCTAATCATAATAGTTTTAATAACTCATTTCTAATAACTGATTTATTTTATCTTTGCCATGATGACAGTACATCATATTTGACTAGATATTTTTCAAGACACTTCTATACAGCTTAAAGTGACATTAAAAGGCTTAATTAGGTTAACTAGGCAGGTTATGGTAATTAGGCAAGTTATTGTATAACGATGGTTTGTTACGTCGACTGTCGAAAAAAATTTAGCTTAAAGGGGCTAATAATTTTGACCTTAATTTTTTTTTTTTATTTAAAACTGCTTTTATTCTAGCAGAAATAAAACAAACAAGACTTTCTCCAGAAGAATAAATATTATCAGACATACTGTGAAAATTTCCTTGCTCTGTTAAACATAATTTGGGAAATATAAAAAAAATAAATAAAAAAAATTAATTCTGATAATCTAATAATTCTGACTTATGTATGTATATATAATATAGGAATATATGCAGGTGCTCCTGTTTCCCCCACAGTCCAAAGACATGTGATATAATTGAATTGGATTAACTAAATTGGCTGTAGTGTATGAGTGTGAGAGTGTATGGGTATTTCCTAGTACTGGGTTGCGACTGAAAGGGAATCCGCTGTGTAAAACATGCCGGAAAAGTTTGCAGTTCTTTCTGCTGTGGCGACCCCTCATATATAAGGGACTAAGCTGAAGAAAAATAAATAAATGAATAAAAACAGTCTGTCCTATTTCTCTTACTATACAGATACTAGTAAAATTAAGCCTTTTGCATATTTAAACAGCTCAACATTCTCATTGGCCAATCAATTGCAGATGGAGGAGTGCTCAGGAAAAAAAAGATGTCGAGACAAATACTGTTTTTACCATTTTTGTTTTGTGACACCAGTGCTGCACTTCATCTTCAAGCAGCCATCTGTTAAAATTCACTCTCTTTGCTGTGTGCTGATTACACAAACTCAACACTTTTACCTTATACAGCTCTAAGACAAAGAGCAGTAGCTGGCTATATAATGTAAATATTTCTATATTCTCCATGTCGTGTGATAATCTAAAGCTCAGTGTGCTTGCGGTGCAGCAGTGGAAACCGCACTGACAGTAAACAAGCGCACAGATCTACATTCTGCAAGCCCTGCACATGACGAACTGCCACCTGTTAGGAAATCTACTCTTCCTGTCTGGCGCAGGCACTTCTGTTCTGTTATTTACAAGGCTCTGCAGATCCTCGCAACACTCACCGAAGTAGTCTGATGGACCCAGGCGGCCCACTTCAACGTATTCCTCGTTATCAGACCTGCGCTGCAGAACAGACGCCGTACCCTGGAAAGAGAAACAAAAAGATGCAGGTTTATAATGGATTTTGATTACATATCACAGTGCATACATGCTAGTAACTGATACTAGCTTGTGAAAATAATAAAGCAAAGGCATAAGGCATCTGGTCTGGTGTCCCTCAGAGCTCTGTTTTTGTCAACACAGGCTCATTGTGGATATGTACCCCTGTCTTCATTTCTGGAGAGCACAAATTATGTAGCCAGAGGTCTGTCTGGCTGCATTTCACCTTTAAAACGAATACTGCGGGCGGTGTGAAGGTTTCTGTTCCTTTTCATGCTATCGTTAACTGCTTTCCTCCATATGGATGGCTTTTCCAGTGTTACCAATTTGCCATGTACATGGGTGTACTTGAAATGTGGAGCAGAACTGACTACGACGACAGTTCGAGTCTGGCGAATAACGTTTCCAGAAACCAAGTAAAACAAAAGCAAAAAAATAAATAAAATAAACAAAGAAATGAGCAACAGGTTGAAAACGTGGTGAAATCACGTGGCCATGATGGCTTTTCTTTTTCTAGATCGCTTTCGAAGACACTATCGGTTGGGTTTAGAGAAGGGGGTGGGTGGGTCGTGCAGTCAGTCAGTTGACAGCAAGCTGGCCAGGGATGCGTTTCCCAAACAACGACATAACTTGTGGCTGAACTGACATAGTACGATGCATCATTTGGGAAGTGACGAGTGACGAATGTTTCCCAAAACAGTAATTGATTTGTCGCCGATCCATCATTTTATCCAGTTTAGTTATAGCGTAAAACGTCCATAATGACGCTCTAATCGGGGTGGAGTAACGACTTTTTTAGAGAAAAACCCCATACTTTTTTGTGCAAATTACGTTGTTTATACATGCACACGCATAAAAAAAACTATTACTTTTGGTAAAAACATACACTTATTTTCCATATTAATATATATTCCGTAATAATAAATATGTATATGTAAACGGCACATATAGGGTCGATGTTTCCTTTACAAATATTATTGAGAATATACTTTATTCCATTCTAAAATTCTATTCTAATCTCATATATAAATCATATAAATAGTTAATGGCTATAATTTTGGAATTATTTTTCTTATTATTAAGCATGATATTGTTTATTTATTTTTAATCTTATTTATTTATTTGTTTATTTAAAAGTTTACTTTTACAGTTTGACACATAAACCACTTCAGAAGTGTTCTAACCGACAGGCCCATGTTGTCACACAACCAGCGATCGCTCTTCAGAGATCGCTGGTTCTCACACGAACTTCAGGACTACACTTCCGCATTTCCTGGACTACATTTTCATACATGCACTTCTCTCAGACACCCATGCTCACACATCTAGCTTGATTACACTCACCAGCTGAACCTTGTCAGAGACTTATACAAACCATTCATAAGCCACTCTTTCACCCTTCTAGTTTGCCGAGTCTTGTTTGCTACATAGTGACATTACAACACGTTTCTCCCTGTCTTGTTTATCCGTGTTTAGACCCTAGCCTTGCATTCCTTGTTATCCTGTTTAGCCACCTGCCTTTAGACCTATTGCCTGTTATATTGACGACAATTCTGGATTTGCCTGTATATACCCGTTTGCACCTGTATGACCACTGCTTGCCTGACGCTGAATAAACCTGCATATTGGATCTTACCTCCAGTTGTCTCTGTCACTCCCCCCCCCCCGGGTCGTTACACATGTCATATACAGTACAGATTATTAATAAATAAGCTACAATAAACTAAAACCATTAACGTATTTTTGTTTTCACAAGCTTTGGAAAGTAACGTAAAATCCACTTTTAAATAATAGGTCTAGCTTTCGCCATGAGCCATGACTGTGTTCAAAATGACAAATATTTTCAAAGTGCACTACAAAGAGAACGCATTTATCAATATTAGGATTGCTAAAACTGAACTGTAAAAAATAAGCAAATTACATCTAAGACTTTATTATCATTATGTTTTTTAAATCATTCCAAGTATAAATGTTGGAATGTTGTAAATGAATAGGGCATAGGGGGGATAACTGGGAATAGAACACAAGCAGGAATTATGTTTTCAACTACAGCTCTAGAGGTGTAGTTGCAAGTGTACAAGTTTGTGACGCAATTTGCGAATGTTCGTTGGAACGATGGATTTGGGAAACACCAAATCAACAAACGATGTTTGTAACAGAACTTGCGACCTTAGTTGGCTAACAAATGCACCCCTGGTTGGCTGAAGTTTATATTGCGCCATCTGGTGGATTTGCGTGAGAATACAAGTGAGACAAATTTGAGATCATCAAAAAGTGCGAGCAGACGTACCTCTAGTTATGTATTTTGCTGTCCCCAGAAATGTAGACCTAGGTACATATCTGCAACGAGCCTGGCTTGGTTTTTGTACCTCTTGCATTTTAAAAAACAAACAGAAACATCTGTATTTTTTTTCTTCATCTGATTCTCAAAACTCAAAATTGCCTTGTGCTCCTCGGCAATAAACTTATAGTATGTGGTCAAAATAATTCAGAAATGGATTATGACATTGAGTCTGTTGTCACACAAGGCTCTGTTTTGGATTTACACAATCAATAATCCTTGTCTATTTTTCTCTGAAATATTTACACATTTTTTTCATTTGACACTCAAAACTGAAAATATCCCTGTGTACCTAGCAATAAATTGATATTAGGTCACTAATATAATTCAGAAAGGCATTATAGTATCAGTTCTGGTGTGCCACAAGGGTCTGTTTTAGCAATGCTATTATTTATAAAACAACTTTTCTCTGTCTTTTTTCACCTCTAAAATAATAATGATTATTACATGACTTAAGTCTGGTGTCCCTCAGGGCTCTGCGTTGGTACCACTTGAGTTTATTTTATACACACTGTTTTAGTTTTGTCACTCTTCTTCCATCTGACTCTCAAAACTCTTAACTTGAGTGTTGTGTAGCTCAACATATTCCTCAATGTCAGACTGCCACACTGCAAAAAGAGAACCAATAAGCGAGATGCGGGTTTAATGAGGAGGAAAAGTGCAAACAGAGGAGAGAAAAGCCTAGCTCACGGTGTCGCCGAGTTTGAGACACGTCAGGAGGATTAGCGAAAGTGAGACTCTTTGCTTTATGTGCCTGCAGGTGTACAGGATTTAGACAACTCTGCATGTTGCTTCAGGGACTCGGAAAACACACACACACGTCATAGACTGACACACACACACATGCAATGCACACCTGGGCCTGTCAGTGTTGAGATTTTCCAACAATTATAGCGTTCCACCGCATGCAGCGCTTCCCACAATGCAATGCACACACTCATTTAGAAAGATAAACAGGGAGACACACACACACACATGTTCTGTCACATTTGTCACATCAAGGACAAACACGCTTCCCACAATACAGCAGTAAAAGGAGCGAGGCTCACAGGCCAGGGCTTCTCTATTCATAGTCAACGTTACACTGAAAGCTAAAAACACTATTAATCAGCCGAAAATAAAGTACAAAGCACAACAATATTGATTAATAATTATCTAATAATTAATGGATACAATTAACAGGTAAAAATCAGTAATATACAGAAATAATGAATTACACAACCATGCTTAAATGTTTTAAATATACCAATTTAATATATACTGTTATATTAATTATCATTACAATGATTATAAATATTATAAACAAATTAATGATATATTTATAAGCATATAAATATTTAGTAATAATGATCACAATTATGATTATGATGACTATTACTATACTAATAAATGCACAAATAAACTCAATTATTTTTATTACTGAATTATTTTTACCGCTAATATTAATTTATTTATTTTATTTATACAGGGACAATGTACAACACGACAAAGCTATTTTACATCTGTAGTCCCTGGGCAGGAAGTTGTAACAAATTTAACAGCAAAAAATAATACATAATACACTTACAATAGAATACATGCAATACATCAATATCATTAAAATGAAATCAAGTCAGTGGTTACATATTTGATATTGTTGAAGCAATATTTTAAGAACAGTTTTAAAATGATTAAAAGTGGTACTCTCTCTGACATGCGCTGGTATTTTGTTCCATCATTCTGCTGCTCTGACTGAAAAAACTGATTGTCCAAAATCAACTGAACAATCACCTCTAAGCAATGACCTAGTCTGTCTTATATGGTCCTTACAGACAGTCACACATTGTTTGAGAGGTGCTGGTGCAAGATCATTAAATATTTTATGCATGAAACACACATCAGCATAAAAAAAGAAACTGTCGAATGTTAGTAACTTATGTTGTGGAATACAGTTACAATGATGAAAGCTCCTTGGCTTTGTAGCTAAAATTTTAACAGGTTGTTTATAGATACCATGAACAATGAACAAACAATTGTTAATATAAAATGCATATTAACAAATATAATTATGATTATGAAATAAATATTATGTAAATGCAATTATTATTATGATGATAAATGTAAATATACAAAACATAAATAAATACCTAGTATTTTTAGCGTTGAACTATGATTATTACTAAAACTATTATGAGCATTAACAAATAATTATCAATAATGAATGATCAAATTACAAATATGTTGTTTTTAACATATACACTTAGCAATAATAAGTGTAGGGTAAGTTACGTTAAAAAGTAATAGATTACAAATTACTAACTACTACTGGAAAATTGTAATCTGATTACATTGCTAATTACTTCATGTTAAAAGTAATCAGATTACTAATTACTTTACTTTGAAGTTACTTATAAAACACATAAAATATAACTAAACATACAAAACATACTGCAGCTCTTTCAGTAATTTAATATTCAGTTAGTTCTTGACACTTGACTCACGGTTTTTAACTGAGTGCGCCTGGGAAATGCGAGTGCGCGCAAAATGCGCTCCCAATATATATGTGCGCAAAAGACACGATATGTGAATGGCCCCACAAGCAGCTATGCTCCTCTTCGCATTTAGAAGATACCTTCACTCCTGATACTGCACAAAATATTTGAAT